CTTACTTCATATTGTAGAACTGCAATGGAGGAAGATGAAGTTTTCTCAGTGGCACAGTTACTAGGTGACCTTGTTGCTTATCGTGCATCTGGGAAAGGACATCTAGAACTCTTGGCAGGTCTTTCTTTTCTTTAAAATGAACCTATAATTTGTTTACATTTGAAAGAAATCTTATATTAGCTAATTTTACAAAAAAAAAAAGGTACTGAAAAAGCAAATTTCACCAATTTTTTCTGTGAAATAAGTTGTCATTTTGTGATAATTGTTGAAAATGTGGATATTTGTTGATAAGGTCTTTCCTTTTTTTTTTCTTCATTTTTGTGATTGACTCTATTACTTTCCATGACTTGATTAATTACTGTATACAGGCCTGGCTTTGTTGCAAAGGGAAAGCCGAATGCCTAATTTTCAAGAGGAAGTCATGGTGGCCCCTCAAGAATTGATTCAAGGAGCTGCTGATTTTCATCCTTTTGCTGAAGCTGCATATACGGTTCTTTTCATAACTTTTATCTTTTCATTTCTTTATAACAATTTCTTAATTTTAATTAATTAATTAATATTTCAGGGTCTTTTACTAGATGTTGGAAGAAACCCTGTATTGTTCCTTTGTGCATGGTTGCATAGGCAAGGGATTTGGACACCTTGGGTTAGAAACAAGCTTCCTGAACTCAAAGGGGACAATTGGTGGAGAGGTCATGCAAAAGCTTTTTTAAAATATGTCAATTTGCCCCCTGATACTCTTCGACAAGGACGTGTCTATCAGGTTATTTTTGTAATTTTGAATCTATTGTTGCTTCATGGCTAGTTTTCACTTTCCACATGTCTTTATTCTATATATCTTTACATATTTGTTGGGATATTTACCCAAACAGTCCCTGCCAAGAACTTTTCTCTACATAAATGGTCCCTATAAATTACAATATTTGTTATTAGACACTTACCATTTCTATAATTTTGTGAAACATAGGGACAATTTCTGTAATTTTGTGAAAAGTAGAGAACTTTTATGTAAGTGAAACACATGGACCATTTTTGTAACTGTATGAAACATAGGAGCCATTTATGTTAATTTGCTATTTGCCAGGGATCATTTCTGTAATTTTGAAAAACACAAAGACCTTTTTTATAAAGTGCAATTCTATATATCCTTACATTTGTTTGGGATATTTACCCAAACAGTCAGTGCCAAGAATTTTTCTCTACATAAATGGTCCCTAGTTTAACAGAAAATTACAGAAATGGTCCCTATATAGAAAAAATTACAAAAAGGCTCCTGTACAGAATTTTTTTTCTTTATAAAAATGGTCCTTGTGTTTTAAAAAATTACAGAAATGATCCCAGCCAAATAACAAATTAACAGAAATGGTTCCTATGTTTCATACAATTACAGAAATGGTCCCTATACAGAAAAAATTACAAAAACGGTCTCTGCAGAATTATTTTTTATAAAAAGGGTCCTTGTGTTTTAAAAAATTACAGAAGTGATCCCTGGCAAATAGGAAATTAACAGAAATGGTTCGGTTCCTATGTTTCATACAATTACAGAAATGGTCCATGTGTTTCACTTACATAAAAGTTCCCTACTTTTCACAAAATTACAGAAATAGTCCATACCTAAAAACAAAATTACAGAAATTGTCTCTACATTTCAAAAAATTACAGAAATGGTCACTGTCTAATAACAAATTTACAAAAAAAATGGTCCCTGTGTAAGAGAACATTAGAAAAAAATTTATCGAAAATATAAGATTAATAAAGCTCATCCCACTAGTTATTTATTTGTTTTGAACTTTGAAGTTGGATATTGTTGGTTTTTCAGGCGAGATGTGAAGCAGCATACTTTGTTGTGGTTCTTCATGATATAAAATCTGTTGTTATTTGTGTGAGGGGAACTGAAACCCCTGAAGATTTACTAACAGATGGTTTAAGTAAGGAATGTGTGCTTGCTACAGAAGATATAGATGGTTTGATATAGTACGTTCTGTTCTCTCTCTCTCTCTCTCTCTCTCTCTCTCTCTCTCTCACTCAAAATGAAAAAAAAAAATAATCTTGCATTTATTTTGGGACAAGTTTTATAATATTCCTTTTTAAACATTTATTTTTGAATGGCATCTTATTATGACATTTTCATGACCTTGTCACAGTGGTAATCTTATTCCACCAGGTTCAGGATATTATGGACACTCTGGTATAGTAGAGTCTGCTCGTGATCTCTATCAGCAAATTGATGGAAATCCTGAAAAAAAAGGTATAAATTCATCTTTCTTTCCCTTTTTTTTAATCAAACTATTTCAGCAAATCACACAAAAGGCATTACATTACATTATCGTCTTTTACCCTATTTTGATACTTTAACACACTTATGTGGACATTTCTCTCGTCACATCAGATGCCACATCATTTAACAAATTTCCATGTAAACAAATCAAACTTGGTAACAGGTTTTTATAATGTAATGGCATTTTGTGTAATTTGCCCAAACAATATAGGGAGGAAACATTATCATAGTGTTTATTATGTTTATCCTAATGACGATTTAAACTGATTTCTTCTAGAATTTGTTGAAAATCAGAATTCCAAGCTGGCGGATTGCTTACTTCATTGCTAGGGGAGGGATGTGAGTGTGAAGGATACAACCTTCGCATTGTGGGACATTCCCTTGGTGGAGCTATTGCTTCAATGCTAGGATTAAAGGTATGTTTAAACCTTTCATTTAGAGAAAATTACAACTTAGTCCCCGGACTTGTTCGTTTGTAATTTTCCTTCTTCTTATCAACAGTTATATGGTCGATACCCTCAGTTACAAGTTTATAGTTATGGCCCACTTCCATGTGTAGATTCAGTCTTAGCAAATGCATGTTCAGGTTTTGTCACAAGGTATTCTTTTCTTTTTTTTTTTTTTTTTTTTTTTTTGTAATCCATTTTTCACCCAACTATTTTTTTTTTAAAATTTTGTATGGATATTCTGCAGTATTGTGTATGATAATGAATTTTCATCACGACTTTCGGTTGCTTCAATCATGAGGTTGCAAAGAGCTGCCATGCTGGCACTATCGAATGATAGGGATGCTGACTCAGCAAAACTGCAGAAACTTGCAAGAAGGTTTCTTTCAGTGAGCACTTATCTATGGCACAAGCCTCATGAAGAACCTTCTTCTTCAGGGTCGAGCTCATTGCCACCAAGAAATGAAGACGAGGGTCAAGCTATACGTGGTACTTAATTACTAAAATACCCTCATTATGTATATTGAAATCAAAATAATAAAAATAATTTGTTATATGTTTGTGTTTATCAATCCTAACACTAAGCTACTGAAAATCACTGTAGTGAGCATTCGGGAACAAAATGAAGATTCCAATCATTGGCACAATATAGACATGAATGATACTTCAGATGATGATAATAATGTCACTCACAGACGTTTTTCATCAAATAGAAATTCTAATCCGTATTATGAGCCTCCCCATGATGAGACTTCACGTGATCATCTTATATCACAGTACATGGAAGCCATGCCATCACATGAAAAAGAAGAGACGCATGAAAACTTTAGAGAAATGTTTTTGCCAGGTGTCATCATTCATATAATCCCTGATAAGAAAAACAATGATGTACCTCTTTATAGAAGATGGAAGAGTACACTAACTACACAATGTGGGTATGAAGCTTATGTGGTTAAGAAGGAAGCTTTCATGGATTTGATTGTATCACCTTCTATGTTCATTGATCACCTCCCATGGAGGTAAATCAAATATCTAAATTCTAACAACACTTTTTATTTATTTATTTTTAATTTCAAATGAAAATAAGAAAAGGTAAATAATTTAATGGTAAAATTTTATTCATTGATTGTTAGATGTTCGTATGCTTTAAAGAAATTACTTGAAAAGCGGAGTCTTCAACAAGAGTGTGATGGGGTGAATTTGAGATCATGATGGATTAAAACCTTCTTTTAAAGTTTGAATCTGTTAATTGCCATGTGTTGTAATTTAATTGCTCAGTGAGCTGTCAGAGTTCACTAACTGCTAACACCTACCACACAAGGGTTAAATTTTTTGGGTGTAGTTTTGTATAGCATAGAAATAGTGGATAGTTTGTAAGAAAATTAAGTTATATATGTATTTGAAGAAATTCAATGATTAGTTGATGTAGTTTTGAACTTGTATTAAACAACAATTAGGAGAGTTACATTCTGTTAAAGTTTTGAGTTTGTGTATGGAAATGAACTGAACTGGAAGGGAATAGCCAATGCTAGGCTATTTTTGATGATGAGGATGAGGACGTAAATGTCTTTTATGATAAACTCATTACTCTACGAAGAGAGTTTTTTCATACAACACTTTCTCCAAATAGACTTTAGAGTTATAAAACTTTATCCATTAAAACTTAAATGGAGGGAAAAAAAAACATGCCCTCAGATTGGTTTGTCTAAGGATCATGTGTCCATAACGTCTATTTGAACTATATATGTACTTGCAGATGATTTTAATCGGCTCTACAACTGCTATGATATCAATAGTTTGATTTTTAATCGGCTCTACAACTGCTATGATATCAATAGAAACTATGAAGACTATCTTTATACATAATTAATAAGAGAAATTAAATATCCTCCTACAATTTCTTCCTACCATCCTCCTACCCATGTCAAATGATGATATGTGTCATATTTAATTTTTCTTAATAATATTTTAATACACTTGTCACCATTTAACATGGATAGGAAGATAAGTAGGAGGAAATTGTAGGAGGATATTTAATTTCACAATTAATAATAACACAATCAACAAGGCTACCACTAAAGACCACATCCACCAACCAGAACCACCTAAATAAAATACTAAATGGAAAAGTCAAACATTTCTTTATCAATGCAAAATCCTAAGACCATGCCTTGTCTTCCTTCCCTTTAAATGTCAAATTTTGTTCTATCTTATACAATTTTAAGACAGATTAAAAAAAAGACAATTTACGGAAATATATCCCTGTTACGATAGTTCTATGTGAATTGGTTCCCTAATCGCCTTCGGGCGCTTGTGTTATCCATGGTTTGTATGTAGCCGAATGTTTTAGTTTCTGAGGTCTCTATCTCAGTTGCAAAAGCACATGACTTAAGAAGTGCCTCAGATCCAACAATACACAGACCTTCCATTGAAGAAATGCTCTGTGGAAGATGACTTATTCCTGTACAGTTTATATCCAACTCTTCTAAACACTCTAAACTTCCAAATTCCTCTGGCAATTTCTGGACTTGACTACAAAAGGGGAGATAGAAATATGTCAAAAATTTCATCTTACAGATGCTGTTTGGAATATCTCGTAAAGATGCACATTTTTTCAGGTTCAGCTCCTCTAAACATTCTAATTGCCCAATATCCTCTGGTAACTTCTCAAGAAGCTGACAAGATTCAAGGTTAAGATATTGCAGATGTTTTAACATGCAAATGCTATCTGGAAGACTTCTAATACCTGTAGACAACAAATTTAACGTCTCCAAACACTCCAACCAACCAAGATTCTCCGGTAACTCTTCAAGATACAGGCAATCTATAATACTGAGAGATTTTAGATGTTTCAGCATACAAACACCTTCCGGAAGACATATGATGTGTGTAGAGTACAAAGTGAGCTCTTCTAAGCATTTCAACTGGCCAATGTCCTTGGGCACCTCAGGAATACAGCCATGGAATGTAAGTTCTCTTAGATGTTGTAAACCACAAATGCTTCCTGAAACACTCTCAAGTTTTGTGCAAGGCTGGAGATCTAGATAGACACCGGTTGAGGAGGGTTGTTCTTTAAAATAATGAAACTTAAATTGTAGCATTGGCAGATTGTTGCTGGAGTCCCTTGGGAATTCCTCCAAGCATTTCACATGCACAGATAAGTTGGGTAACCTAAAAAGCTCAAGTGATTCAAATTGTTTGATAAACGAGAAAGATCTAAACCTTGAGCAACCACCTAAATCTAAGTAGACAAGCCTTTCTAAGCATCCAGCAGGCGCATGAACTTCTGTCAAATCATAACATCCTTGAAGATCTAACCTCTCAAGATTCGGAGTCATCCCAAAGTCGAGGGTCCTCAAGTCTGAATACATAAGAACCAGGAACCTAAGCTTCTTAAGCACCTATCATATGCAAAAAGAACGGAATTAATTAGACTAATATTGCTGTATCAAAACAAATGAATGAAGAAAGGCATTACAATATACATAAGTACTGTTTTGTTTGATCAAACTTCCAGTCACCCAGGAAACAGTCATCGAGCTCCCCATGAAGAAAAAGATATCTAAGTTTGTTCAGTTTTCCAAGGCCTTTCATGATAATTTCAGGAGGCAGATCCACCGTATTCAGCTGCAGTCCTATACATGTTGATGCTTCAGTACCCTATATTAATCCAAAATCAGTCGCCATCAAACTTCTGTCATATATATAATTAAAATTTGCTAGTTTTAGTAAATTTGATCCTTACCGCATCATTAGAGATTAATTCTTCAATTTCCTCGTGAATGCAGAGTCGGCTGTGTTTGTTGGGTTCATGGGGGTGCGATCGATGAACAATATTCCATCCCAATTCTTCTATTCTATCATGCATGCCCAATCTATTATATGAAATCGTTATTAGAGATTTTTGCTCAAGAACTCTTAAACCATATGTAGCATGAAATCCACAGCTATCAAGGATTTTAATTGCATATTCTTCAGGACTCCCCTTCAAGAAGCATGCAATATCCAAGAACATTTCCTTGTGATCATCCTCTAGGCTGTTATAGCTTATTTCCAATACCTCTAGAGTTTTCCGTGATGGAATTGTTTTTAGTCTTTTTAGTGCATCACTCCATACAAGCTTCTTTTCACCACGCAGATGGGAACCCAAAACTTTAACCGTTAAGGGAAGACCAGCAACATAACGTACTACTTCTAATGAAAGCTCTTCATATCCTTGATCTGGAATATATCTCTTGAATGCATACCTACTAAACAGGCTCATTGCTTCCTCATCCGAAAAGAAATCGACATCATGAATCCAGTTTGTATCGACTCCATGTGCTAGCAGCACTTTCTCGTCTCTTGTTGTAATGATGATTCTACTTCCGTCCTTAAACCAATCACCAGCTAACGCCTCAAGCTGCTCTTCATCATCCACATCGTCTAGAACAAGAAGAACTTTTTTATAGGGTAACCTCATTCTCATGAATTCTTTCCCATCATGAACACTCCCCACACGCATGTGTGCATCATTTAGAACCCCTGAAAGGATTTGTTCTTGCAATGACTCCAAGCCCTTCTTTTTTGATACTTCCCTTACATCACCAACAAAGATACTACCTTCAAAATGAGAAGATAGATTATCAAAAATAGCTCTGGCCAAAGTTGTCTTCCCAATGCCTCCCATTCCCTTGATCCCTATCATACGCACTTTATCGTTCAAACCGATCCCCAAAGATGACTCCAACTCTTGCATCCGGTGGTCCATGCCTATTACATTTTCATCATTGCTCAAATGAATGGACCATAACTTGAATGAAATTTCTTTAACAATTGTTTTGATGCCTTCAGCTTCATGCCTGTAGATTAAACAAGATTCAAGTAGCTTGCTCAAGATCCCACGTGATCAGTTAGTTTCAGCACTATACCATACAACCACATGCAAGCAATAATAAGATACGAATGTTTCATGTTTCATATATCTTTCTAGAATGTTGGAAATAAGAAGATCAATGTATGCTGCTGTGTTTTAAGGCTCAATTGAGAAGAAAAAAAAGTGATTTTTTGCTGCTGTCAAAACAGGGGAAAACAGAGGACAGGAGGGCTTAAGGAGCTGTTACAAAAAAGGCTAACATTCCTCTTAAACTTGAAGGAAACAATTACAATGGATTGCAATACAAAGCAAGGAACTGTTAGTACTTATAAGCCTATTGCTTCTAAAATTTGAATACTAAAATACTAAGGTTGCGTGTGTGGGTGTGTGTGTGTTTGTGGGGGTGGGGGTGTGTGTGGGTGTGTTTGTGGGGGTGGGGGTGGGTGTGTGTTTGTGGGGATGGGGGTGTGTGTGGGTGTGTTTGTGGGGGTTGGGGTGGGGGTGGGGGTGGGTGTGTGTTTGTGGGTGTGTGTGGATGTGTTTGTGTGTATTTGTGTTTGTGGGGGTATGATGGGTTGGGGGTGTTAAGGTGGGGTAGGTAGAGGTGGGTGGGGTGGGAGTGGGTGCGTGTTTATATTTTAGAAAAAATTTCGATTTAGAAAATATGAAAAACAATGATTATCTGTTTTTCAAAAAATTTCCAACTTCTTTGTAATTTTAGAAAACGGAAAATTCCAACTTTTTTGTAATTTTAGAAAACCGAAAATTTTCATTTTCCATGAAAATTTTAGAAAAATAGACAAACTAAACACGCTTTCAAAATTCTCATTTTTATTGGAATTTTTTTTCGGAAAACGGCTATTTTTCGGCAACTAAACGCAACCTAACAATCTAAGCTATACTTCATAAACCCATGCCATAGATGACACCTCTACATCCCCAGCTGGACCTAGATTAGAGATACGAAAATGAAAAAATATTAAAGCAGAGATATGTTGTGAAGGAATTTATACCCATTAGCAATGTTTTTCAGATCCCCAGCCAACCAGATTGCCTGCACTTTCAAGAGCCTTTTCCCATTTCTTAATCTGTTCGTTGGTCTTATGTTTGGCGATTGCTCTTCCAACTGGCCCACTTTGTTTGCGGATGTCACTGGGCTCCACATCATAAAAGAGCGGGTAAGCAATCTGTTCCTTCTCATCACACTCCATAATCTTTGTAACCTCCTTCAAGCACCAAGACGAAGATGCATAGTTTTTGGAGAAAACAATGATAAAGAACCTCGACTCTTCAATGGCTTTGAAGAGCTCCTCGATCCGTTTTCCTTTCTCGAGCTCCTCGTTATCCCTGAAGGTATGAATACCTTTTTGCTTAAGAGAAGCATAAAGATGATCAACGAAGGTCTTACGTGTGTCTTCTCCTCTAAAGCTTAAGAACACATGATACTTAAAGCTCTTTTGATTGGATGAAGTTGAAGAAGACGCCATTAAAGGTTTTCTTGATGGATCTTCTACAAATCGAATCGTTCTTGAGAAAGATTCTTAAGAAAAAAGAAATTAGGGATGTTTGATACTACAAAACCAATGATCGGTAACAGCTAGTAATTCCAACAGAGTGAGGACATCCATTTTGTGGGCAATATACACGTCAAAGAAGATCGGAAGAAATTTCGAATGCCCCCGCCATATTAAAAAAACTGAAGGTCAACCGAACTTTTGTAGTATTCAACTTATTTGTTAGAGTAAATTTCATGTTTGGTCGCTGGGGTTTCTAAAATGTAACAGGTTTAAATTGATACTTTAAATTACTCTCCCTGTATTTTTGCTTCTATGAGAGTTAAATAACACAAAATTTAACATACATTAAATAGATATCTAACTTCTGACTAATCCAACTACTTCAACAAACTACACATAAATGTAAAATCGCTTTGCAGCCTTCATTAAAACAATACTAAAGGAAAACTAGAGTAGATAGGCATAGACAGGGAGCACGCCTGCTGTGCCATCTGCTTCTTCTTTTTCCTTTATCATAAATATTATGGATTATTATAATATAGTCCACAAGATTCATGTCTTTCAGCTTTCGTCCCTATTTAGTACTTCCATTGCACCTTTGGTCCTTTGACCTACCACCAGTTATGTTGCAACCGTTAAACCCCCTCATTTGCAAGGCGCATGAGGGTATTTTGATCAATTGAACTATCCATTAATTATATCTCCCTCTTAAGATTTGACACAAATCCAACAATACACAGATCTTCCAGCAAGAAAATGCTCAGCTGAAGGTGACTTATGCCTGTACATTTTACATTTAACTCTCTTAAACATTTTAATCGTCCAAGTGCCTCACGCATTCTTCTAACTTGAACCTTGAGAATTCATGTACGGAGTTGTCTGTCAGGTGTAGCTTGCATAAAGAAAGAAACTTCCTTCCAACGTTTGATAAAAGAAAAAGAGTCAAAGATTGAACAACCGCATAAGTCCAAGTGGACAAGCCTTGTTAGATTTTCAAAAGAAATGAGAACAGAGTCACCAACCTATAAGAAATATACACTTAAATACAAAATTATGGATCCAGTAGCTATTTTCATAGAGTAAATGTGTAATTTATTTAATTACACAGAAGCCTGGCACATTTAACCTTAAGTAGCTGAATCTTATGTCATTCTCAATTTGAACGCAACGTCGATGCCAAATCCATCACAAAAAAAAAGTACGTCAATCCAATAGGCAGGGTGGTTTGGGTGTTTTGAGGTCTTCCGTTCGGGTGGGGCTTTGTATTTGGCAATGGAGCCATCTGGATGTCTTTTAATGCGAAAGATCCATTTACAGCCTATTAGGGAATGAGATGATTTAGGAACCAGTTCCCAGGTGCCATTTTGCATTAGAGCATTAAATTCTTGATCCATGGCTTGACGCCACTGCGGACCTTTGAGGGCTTGGGTATGAGTTGTAGGTTCAATAGAGGGTGGAATTGGATGAAGTGTTGAGGTATTAACAAATGAAGGGTTATAGTATTTGGAGTTGAGTTTTCTTGGTCGGGTGTCACGAGGCTGTTGTGGAGATGGAGGGGGAGGAGCAACAGGTGAGGTGGTTGTAGAGGAGGCAGAGGTGGGTGATGATGTTGAGGTAGGGGAGGATGGTTGATCATCAGATAGAGGTGGTGGTGAGTCATTTATTTCGATTACTGGTGAAGGTGCAGTGGGTGAAGATGAATCCGGAGAGATGGTTGTATTGATTAGTGGTGGTGGTGTTTCTATGGGAGAGGAGATAGGAGAGGTGAGAAAGATGTCTGGTGTAGGAAGTGATTGATGGAGGGGTTGCTTATGAGATGGAAACTGATCAGAAATAAACTCGACATGATGGGAGTGGTATAATCGTTTTGATTGAAGATCATAGCATTTGAATGCTGACTTGGTGGAGGAATATCCTATGAATAGACATGGGGTTGATCTGGGTTGAAGCTTGGATGTTGTGTAGGGACGAAGCCACGGGTAACATAGGCAACCAAAAGGCTGTAGTTTGGAGTAGTTTGGTGTTTGATTGAAGAGACGCTCATATGGAGATTTGTTTTGGAGAATAGGAGTAGGAAGTCTGTTTATAAGGTACACGGCTGTTTGGAAGGCATGTGACCAGAAGGATAATGGCAAGTTGGCATGGTGTAGGAGCACAAGGCCCGTTTCAACTATATGTCGGTGGCGGCGCTCGGCTATACCATTTTGTTCTGGTGTATGTGGTGGAGTGGTGTAATGAGAGATTCCATGAGATTGAAGGAATGGGAGGAGACCTTGGTATTCTCCACCATTATCACTGAATAAGGAGATAATAGGATATTGGAAGTATTTTTCTACAAGTAGTTTAAACCGAGGAAAGAGTTTTGCAACATCATTTTTATGACTCATAGGATACATCCAGACATATTTGGTGAAGTAATCAACAAAAATGACATAATAGGTGTATTTGTCTATCGATTGTGGAACTGGTCCCAGACATCTGAATAAATGAGTTGTAGTGGTTTGGTTGCAACAAAAGAATTTGGACCAAAAGGTAATTTATGACTTTTATTGATTGAGCACGAAGGACAGTGAACATCAGAAGCAATATTTGGATTAAAACCTAGCCTAGAGATAAGAGTCTTGAAGACTTGACGAGATGGATGACCAAGTTTGTGATGGAGTGTGAGTGGTGAGTTCTTGAGAGTAGCATGGATGTGGAGCTTGGGATGTAACCGTGTCTGGTAAACTCCATTAGTTTTCTCTTCTCGCATTAGACGCGCCCCCGTGCATAGATCCTTCACAAAGAAATGAGATGGAAAGAATTCCACCGAAACCATGTTAGTATCACATAATTCAGAGACAGATACTAGATTTCTGTGTAATTTAGGAACATGTAACACATTAGATAACAATAATTTTTTGTGAGGTGTAGAGATGTATGTGTTGCCAGTGTGTGTTATAGGTAAACCTGAACCATCTCCAAGGACTATCTCATCTGGACCTCCATACTCCGATACGCCGTGAAGGGTATTTTTGTCAGAGGTTACATGATTAGATGCACCAGTATCAAAAAGCCAGGAGGGAGATCCTGGGGCCGACGTAGTAACATTAGCAACTGGAGTTGTTGATTTGGTAAGGTCAGTGATGACATTGTTCTCCCTTAGAAATCGAGCAAGTTTTCGACAGTCCTTAGTAAGGTGCCCTGGAATGTTACAATACTGACAGAAGTGATTGTTTTTGTTGGTACGATGGCCATAAGAGTTATTATTTGGCCATTGAGATTGGGGTGTTCCTTTTGACATGTGAGAGGGAAAAGGTCGGGTGTTGTTCCTGGAGAAAGAGTTGTTGTATGTGCGATTATTGGATCCCTGTTGGCGGGAAGTGTAATTGGCAGTGACTGGAGTTGAGTCAAGGGTTGAGGGTATATCCTTGAGGGCTCTTTCATAATCTGTGAGTTTGTCAAAGAGCTCCGAGTAGGACAGGGGGTTGTCTCGTACCTTGATAGCAGTAGCAATGGTACTATATTCTTCACCAAGTTGTGAAAGGATGTGGACCATGAGGTCCTCTTCAGAGACACGGCTTTGGGTAAGTGCTAGATCATCAGCAATGGCTCGCATTTCTTGAAGGAATTCTGAGATGGATCGAGTTCCTTTAGGGTTCTTGGCAAGTTTGGACTTTAAGGAGATAATTCTGGACCTTGAGGATGAGGCAAAGGTTGAGTGTAGCCGAGTCCATGCTTCTCGAGCTGTAGCTGCGGATGAGATGAGAGGTTGTATCGAGTCTGAACAGCTCCCCAATATAGCGCTGAATATCATTTGATCTCTGCGATGCCATGGAAGGTAATCAGGATTTGTTATCCTTTTTCCTTCCTTGTCAGTGAGAGGTTGAACAGAGGGGCCGATGATGTGGTTATCAAGTTCAAGACTGATCAAAGTGGATTCGACTTGTTTTCTCCATACTGGGTAATTATTGGGTGTGAGTTTGATGGTTAGATGAGTAGCAGCGGTAATGTGAATGGTGTTTTTGGTGGCCATCGATGAACCCTAATTGATGGTTGAGGGTTTTATTTGAGAAGATAGGAAGAGGATCAAATCTCGTAAGAGCAGGTTAGCTCTGATACCATATAAGCAGAGATATAAGAGTGAATTGGTTATGTTATTATGCACATACAGGGAGTGGCTTAAATAGCCAAAGAATACAAGTAACAGGGGATAAACAAGGAAGGTTTACAGGGAAAATACAGCTGTAGGTGGCTAAGTAATTACAGGGAAATATTCTAATTATATAAAAGATAATATACATATCTTATTCCTTAATATTGAGGTCTTCGGTTCGGGTGGGGCTGAAGGGCGCCGATGGGTGGTTTGACGATGAGGAACAGAGGAAGAGTGGAAGACAGAGACGAACAGAGTCGGAGAAGAGAGTGAGGGATGCGTAGGTGGCAGACTAGGGTGGTGCTGTGTGGTTTTGCGACGATGAAAGGAGACGGCGGTGCTCAATCTCTCCGTTTTCTCCGATCTTGAATTAGAAAAAGAAGGGGAAAAAAGACTTATCTATCCTTATGTTGGAAGGCATACGAGGAGGCTTAACAATTAAGGGGATGACGGACGTTTGGGTAAGGGATGAAAACGTAACAAATGTTACAATTGAGGACAAATTCTGCAACAAATGAATTTTTTTTGACTAAATCAATCTGTAGGCCAGAGATGTGATTGCTTCCGTGGCAATGGTGGAACGGAGAAGTCAACCAGTCTCTCGTATTATTTGTTATTTAAGTTTTATATTATTGTTATTGTTAGGAACATTTTTATACAAGATGTATCAAGGTTTTTATAGTTACTTTTATGGTAAATTGTACTAAAAGTCGGTATGTTTTCATAAAATTTCGATTTCAACAGTACTATGAAATCTTTTGTTATAGTTTAGTCATTAAGTTTTCTAATTTTTATAATCTTGACAACTTAACCTGCCAACTCAGTTATTCACTAA